TTGCAGGGTGACAAGGTTGTTATTGCTCAATCTCGGTGTGAGTGCAGATGTGATCCATGGCACACCTGGCTTGTGCAGGTACAGCAGCAGCTGCTCAGCATTTCCCTGCCCCAGGGCACACATCGTGATCTCTTGGGCCAACAAAGCCCATGAGCTCAAATAAACCCAACAGAAACTCACTGTGAGTGAACCTGGACACTCCAGAAAATGAACTCCACTGCTGGAAATGGGCAAGAGGGAGTTGATGCTAAAATAGTCAGTAGCATCATGTGAAAAACGACTTAAGGTAAAAACATTAAACTCATTAAAATGAGTTTAATTTTCAGGTTTGCACCACGTTTCTGAATGTGATTGGTTAATTAAAATCCCAAGATTTAAAGGAACCAAAAATGCTCTGTATCAAACTTAAACATTGACAAATACCTCTGTGCAGTGTACTTATACTTAGTGAATCTTGGTATTTTAATTTTAGCTGGAAATTCTCTCTAAAACAGGCCTTGTATTTACAGCAAGTTAGCTATTACAGCACATAACCAGCATGATTAAATACTTTGTTGCAGAATTTATATGGGTCAAGTCACATTTTCATAACTACATAAAAATAACTCAGTGATCCTAAACGGGTGACAATTATATGAATGATGAAAGGTAACTAGTTTGAGCACATTATTTTTTAAAAGGGTAAGAAAACAGAACCATATCCATATTAAGGTCATCCATTCCCTACACAGACTCATTTCCAAGCAATCTCAAATGGGAATTGATCTCTCTTACAGGACACCTTTGTGCCTGGTAAGAGGAAAGGTATTCTTTCTTTTGATTGAATGCTCACCAATTCGTTTGCCAGTAAAAAAACTCCTGAATTGAATGAAAAAATGTATTTTCTTAATAAGTAAACACTACATATCAAAATTCAGTTTTCTCCTCAATTTCCTCAAATGTTTGTGGGAACAGGACAGCAGAAAAAGCAAAGTATAATGAAAATAACCCCGTTTTAAACCTGTAGCGACTTATGGCAAAGACTTCACAGCCTTGGTGCGTCCCAGTGTGACAATATTTATTGCAATGAAACTGGAAAAAGTGACACAGCAGCTGACTTTAAAGAGATCTGTGCCTATGCTGTGCTGATCAGGTCACTCAGGATTCTTCCTCTTGCATGTGCGTCACAGAGCACGAAGGAGTCTCATGAGGAGCTTTCTGGCCAAGGGGATTTACTGGGCCTATTATTCTGCTCCTGATATTTATCCTCTGCTTCTGCAGGAATAGCTGCTCCCAGTTCAGGGGTTTCTGATCTAATATGCAAAGCATTCACAATAGTCAGCAGGAAACCCAATCCTCCTCTGCCTGGTGTAACTTTTCCATTAACTTAAACAAATGCTGCTGTATTTTTAGACCATGTAATTACCCTACATCAGCAGGCTGGCCCTCGTGAAAGTCCACTGCAGAAAGATTGGAGCCCTATGCTCCTCTGCTTATAAAACTCTGAAACCCAAGCCCTCGGATGTGGTGATTAATGAAATACCTCCTGATCATTTGATCTGATCCCACTCGCTGAGGTAAATTGTTTTAGTTTTCCACTGGCATAAATAGGATTTTTTTGGTATAATGACAGGAGGGTAAAGACTTCACACTTGAAAAGACATTCCATTCTGTGTTAATGGACGACCACTGAGAATTGGAACATGCTTTAACCTTCTTCAATCCTCCCTCAAAGACAAAAGACTAAAGGAGATATTTTTGTTATGTCCTAAAAGAGTTCCTTGCTTGAAACGCTGTACAAACATCCTGGTAATGGCATCAGCCCTCTAATTCTGCTGTTCAAAAACCTCAACAGCTCCGTGATTACAAGAATTTGTCAAGAGGCAACAGGCATTTGGCAATGACAAAATCTGTCATTTTTCTGAATTTGGAGTGTGCCAGTCAACAGCTGCATTAGGCTGTCAGGATAATGGACTGCAGAACAGGGCAGGTTCACAATGGCACCATTAACACTTGGATTCAGTGTTTTGATAACAAGGAGCTCCACGAGGCATACAGTTGCTTTCTTCTGTCACAGAAATCAGGGATTGCTTTAGGTTTGTCTGTGTCACAATTCAACATGGTCACTGTAAAACACGGCCAGGCCATGCTTGATTTCATACAATATTTCATTTGCCTTCTTGGCTTGTAAAACACAATTCCATTTCAGAAAATGAACAACTGATTTTAAAACATGGTATTGCCAGGAACATCTATTAAAATGCTTCAGCTAAATAAATAAATAAATAATGCATTAAAAACTACAGTACAATAAAATTTTTTTAGAAGATAATCACTTGCAGTGATTTTGGAATTACAAATACTACACTTGGTTTCTGCAAGGAATTGTTGTCACTGAATTTCATAAATGAGTATGTTTAATGTATCTAATGTGTTAAGGCAAGTAAAAGCTAAAGCAAAGAGTAGTGACATGAATAATCTGCTTTGCTGTATTTTATACCCCAATATAACTCCTTGTATGTTTTTCCTGACCTCCAAGACCACCTTCATTTCAATGCATGGTTCCACTTGTTTAAGAATATGTAAAAACTGTAATTCTTATTATTTCTTTTCCATACTGGTCTTAAAAAAAAAACCCAACACAAACCAGAAATAGCTTGACTGACATGATTTTTTTGTGTGTGTGTTTTTGTCAGCTCTTGGAGGAGCAGCATCTGCAGCCAGCTCCATTGAAAGGATCCTCAGAGTGAATATCTTCTTCATTTCTGATCAGAATGCCTCAGTGGAATGGAGCTATGATGGGGATGGGGATCTCACAGGTAAGCAGAAACACCCTCACAGCAGTCTGCTCATTCCAAAGCTGCATCTGCTCAAGGAGCATCAGGGAAATGAACATCTGGATCCCCAGGAAGGGATGACAACTCCAGCTGTGCTGGCTGAAACACAGACACAGCATCTCTGAGGGGGCAGGGGATAAAAGTCAGGCTGTTGTGCAGGAGATATTGGGGTTTGAAAGGTGTGACCCACAGGCCATGTCCTTGGCACTGGGTGGCAATTACTCCTGAGGAGGCCACAAGGTGAGCAATGAAAATTCACTGACAGAAAGTTCTGCTGGCAGAGGGCAAAGGAGAGAAAACATGGTTCACACACCTCAACTTTTAGAGATCTGCTCTTTTCTATCCCCTTTGGGAATCCATTTGTGAGTATGAATGTTCTACTCCTAAAGAATTTTCTTACCACCTCCACAGCAAGCATTGCCCAGAAACTACACAGTAGGATATGTATAACCCAACCTGTTCAACAAATAAAACAAAATTGTGCTTTAAACTATTTAATGGCTTTTCACAAGAAAACAGAATCTCATCTTCACTACAATTCCCAGGGAAAAACACTTTGAGCCTGGATGTCCTGGAGTTCCCACAGCTCCCAGTAATGTAGGGGAGAGGTAAGAAATCTCATCAGCTCTGAAAATTCAGCCACCACTTAGGCTGGATTTGCACAGGGAGAAAACTGCTGTTCATGACATTCAGGTATAATTACCTACCTACAAGTTTAAAAAGGGTTGACAGTCTGAACTCCTCTGAATGATGGTACTTCAAAAGCTCAACTGAAGAGGCTGAAATGTGGATGAAGTATCCTGGTTTTGCAAATGACTCAAAGGAACTGTATCCTGAAAGCCACGTATTCTTGTGAATGACAAATGTAGATCTGTTGTGAAAATCTTCCAATTTTTTCCATTTAGAAACAACAAGAGTATTATTGGAGGCCAACTGAAGAAAATAATTTGGTCTCTCAGCTGTTTCAAATGAAATCAAGCTGGAATCTGGAAAAAACAAAACAGAAGAGAGCACACAGAACTTCTTTATTTGCTGATATGTGCATAATAAAAATAAATAAATTAAAAGAAAAACAAAATAATAAGTTCATTCTGATGATGATTCACTACTGATACTAGCAGCATGAGGAATGAAAATGGACTTTGGCCTCACCAGTGAAAACAGCCTGAATCTTGTAAGAAAACGCACTATGTATGGAATACAGAGTGCTAGACTGTGATGGTTATTTAGTTTTCTAAATACTCTACAAATTCCAACAGGAATACAAAGAGATTGAGACGTTTGCCCACATCAGGATAAAGGAATAGAGCCCTGCAGTCAAGCAGAACTTAATTTACAGTCTTTACTAAGCCATTTATTTAATAAAAACTTTAACTCTGTCTAACTAGCTTTAAAAGTAACATTGGCCATCAGGAATTGACAGCTTAAAAGCTCAGCCTTTCATTAAAAATAAATTTTAAAACTGTATTTTGCATTCAGCTCTCTAGCTCTCCCTCTAAGAACATTAGAGCCAAGTCTCCTTTTCTGGAATGTTCCCTCATGATACCTTACCCTGCAATACTTCTGATTTCAAGCAGCCTCTGCACAGCCAATTGCAGGGCATCAGATCTCAAGCCTGTTACAGGCATCTGTTGCTCACAGAATTACTTCATTCTATTTTGCTGTAAACTCTGCTAGTCCCTTGAAAACAGCCATTAATCTACTGTAAAATCAACTAACCCTCCAGGACCGGGTAGCATTTCTTAAAAAAAAAAAAAAAAAAAGCTTAGAAAACAAATGATCTCTATTAAATGGATATATTATCACATTCTGGTGTAACACTTCTGGAAGACCACCTTGTTTTCTGAGCATAAAAGCTTCAGATAATCTGGAAAACCCAGCAGTGCTAGTGAATGCCTTTCTATGAGCTGGCTGTAGCCAGCAGCTCTTTGCTAAGTAACAAAGGACAGTCAGTGTGATTTTTAACACCTGCTCTACAGCCAATCAGTGCATTAATGCCCCAAACCCTCCATTATCCAGGAACGGACTGAATCTGATAAAACATGCATTTTGCCAAGAATAATGATACATCATATTGATTGTACAAATTCCTCATGACCAAATGATGAAATGCCATTTACTCAAACTGGACCACAAGGCACAAATTCTATTTGCCAGGTTAAATTCTGAGCAAGAGATTTTTATAGGAGAATAGAACAGTAGGACTGACCTTCCCTTTCCAAACATAAATTGAACACAATGTACAAGTGCCTCAAAACTATGACTAATAAAAGAAATCTGTCCCCAGCTATTCTGTTACATGAGCTCCTGTGTCAGTTCTACATACAGCAGTATTAGTAATCAAATGTTTATCATTTTTTTAAGTGACCCATACCCCTCCTTTGATTACACAAAGACAGCCAGGCACCTTCAGGCTGCCCAGACTGTCAGCAGGGGACTCTGCTCAGTAAAACCTTTGATACCCAAATGCTCTGTGGCCATTAAAGCAGAGAACTTCAGCGTTTAATTAATGCCACAAAGGCTGCATGTACTCCTGTAGGCTTTCTGCACTGAAGGTGTGCAACACATCTTCCATCTGATGGAGAAGGAAGTTTCCTCCAGGGGAAATAATAAATTAATTTGGGAGCAGCAGTCAGCCTGGAGAGCCCTTCAGTGTGAGGGGCAGGAGTGATGGGGCACAGCCAGGCAATGGCAGCAGTTCTGTGGCCACACTGCTCTGCCATTCCTCCCATTTGCACCAGGAGAGGTGAATGAGCAGCAGCCCCCAGTACTGGGCTGCAGTTCCACTGTGGTGGCTCTGAAGGCTGGGGTGGGGGGAGGCAGCTGCTGTTCAGCTGATAACAAAGCTACACTCTAAAACTCCGAGGAAATTTTCACAGACATTAAAGTGCACGTTCAACTGACCGATAAAACAACGATTTTTTTTTTACCAAGTCTATTCTTAAAGACAAGGGCAGAGCTTGCTCTGTGTTATTGAAGATGGTAGGTTATTGTGACCTTACCATGTGCTTTGGGTTTGTAGAGTCCTGAAGTCAGCATAAAGCTCACGACATGGCCAGGAACAATATCATCTTCTCTCACAGGGAACACAGCACCATCCACCAATTCTGCTGCTATTACAAGTTTTCCATCCAGATAGCTGACCAGCTTGTATGGGCCTTTTCCCAGAGCTGTGGAGAAACAAACAATTATTTTTCATGCCAAGTATCACAAATGCTTGAGCTCTAAACAGAGCACATGCAGAAAAAACACATCTCACTGCTCTGAAAAGATATCTAGGTGCCATGCACCAAACTTGAGTGAAAACCAAAATAAACCTTTTTCAAAAAATACTTGTTCTGAAAACTATTGAGAATACCTACTTTCAGTTTTCAAGATTCATGATTAGCTTCTCCTTTTCATCCCTCTCATATGCTTTGGTCTCATAATCACTTTATTGAAGTTGCTGAACCCTCAGTTATTTGATTTAGGATCCTCCTAAATTACTTATTTGTATGGTCAAAGTGATTATACACTTCCTACTACTCTTTAAAATCTATTTCAATGTCCAAAGCATGAGGAATATTGCAGGGAATAAAAGTTTATTGTCAACAAGCATCAAAAAAACTCCTTGAACACTGCAGCTACAAACCACCACTGTGAAGCAAGACAGGAAGAAAGCAGCATCATAAGCAAAGAGCAGTCCTATTTTATCTATAAAAAAGCCAAAAGCATGCAGAGTTATTTTACAAACCTTAAAATGCCACACCTTCTCATTTAGATCAAACTAGCACTTTTCAGTTGATAGTCTATTAATTACTTAATGATTTAATTGTTTAATCATCATCCATCACTGCATGGAAAATTAGTTAGACTCGTGTTCTTGGAGAAGTTCAGGAATAGAAAGTATTATGCAATTAAAAGCCGTTGAAAAAGCAAAATAAAGCATCAAAGCAGAATCTCAGCTCGTTAAAAACATAACATTCACAAATGTTCATTAACACAATTATTTTTATACAAAGATTCTAAGACTTAAATTAAAAAAAAAAAACAAGATTCTATTGATATTTTGTCACTTCCTTTAGAACTTACCTTTGTTGAAATATTCACAATCATAAGCTAAAAAAAGAAAAAAGAGAAAAAAATGCAGTTACAGGCATTCTACAGATAAGCAGATTTTCTATTCCCCATTATGATTAAGATGTGAGCTCAATGCTTGGCCAAATTAGATCATACACAAACATTTATTCAAAAGTTATTGACAAATATTTGCTGTACTTTGGACAAAATGCTAATTCAAGCTACACAGGTTTAAAGGAAGAATTGCTTCCCAGCAAGAAATCCTAAGCTTATATTCCTACAGCTGTCTTTTTGTGACCTCTAGTGGCTATGACTGAGCTTCACATTAAAACACATCTTTTCTATCCGAAGTTAAAGAGTAGTGGCCAGTTTGCTGTGTGACCCTGAGCAAGCTGCTTACTCTCTCTGTGCAACTGCAAAGTTAGAAAATTGCTTTTTTCCTTCCATTCTCTGCATCTCCCCTCCTTTTATCACATCTCTGGGGAAATCACAGCCTCCTGTCAGGCATTTCCAGTAGGTGTTAGAGCAAAAGGCCTCAGACTTTTTTTGTTGTAATTTCTAAGATAAGATAATGACTATGTACTACTTAAAAACTTCCTTGTTTTTCTTCAGGAGAGTTTCATATTTCACACTTGCTCTGGGGGCTCTAAAAAGGCACCTATGTTTACTAGATCTTATTAAGTAAAGTTCTCCTGAGGATGGAAATCCCTGGAGCTGCCAGTTTTGCATTTTTGGTACCCTGACACAGACCTCCCATGACTCTTCCTTTCACACCACTGGACAAGAGATGAAAAATAGAAAAGCATCACTCACAAACACAGAAGAGCACAAGCCCAGCTAGAGCAGAATGAAACTGGAGTGAGAGGCACCAACCCCTGTCCTGTCAGTGAGGTGAGATTGAATCCATGGCCAGGTAACCTGGGGGGACTGATTGTGACCAACCCCTGTCCTGTCAGTGAGGTGAGATTGAATCCATGGCCAGGTAACCTGGTGAGACTGATCCTGCCCCAACCCCTGCCCTGTCAGTGAGGACAGATGGAATCCACAGCCCAGGTAACCTGGTGAGACTGATTGTGACCAACCCCTGTCCCTGTCAGTGAGGACAGATGGAATCCACAGCCCAGGTAACCTGGGGGGACTGATTGTGACCAACCCCTGTCCCTGTCAGTGAGGACAGATGGAATCCATGGCCAGGTAACCTGGTGAGACTGATTGTGACCAATCCCTGCCCCTGTCAGTGAGGACAGAGTGAATCCATGGCCAGGTAACCTGGGGGGACTGATTGTGACCAA